ATTTAGAAGCGTAAATTAGTGTGGATTACAATTATTTGAAACATTTTTCGGTATTTATAAGCTATATTTTTTACCGATTTTTTAAAAGCACTATCACCTAGTCGGCTAAATTGTACCACATCAAGTTGTATGGAACTTTACCAAAGGATTTTGAAATTTTTTTTAGTAAACCATATTTTGTAANTTGTCTATGTTATTAACTACTGTTCCTTTTCGTTTCCTAATTTGTTAAGAATGTATCGTATAATATTTTGCCATAGTTTTTTTATAGGCTTGAAATTTATTGAAATCCAATTTAGTAACCCTGTGGTACAAATTATCGAACCGATTGGCTAAATTGGACCGAAGCTCTGAACTCGTACTTTGTTGATTTGTGCTAAATATACAACAATCATATTAATTAATACTTATGAAATAGTAAGTTGAATAATGTATCTTTTATTATATACCATGGACATTAGCAAAAACAAAAGAAAACTATGTGTAAAATGGGATTGAAAAAAACTGGTCCAAATTAGCGGACTCTCCCTTATGATTTGGTATCCAAGTTTTCAATTTTTATTTTCCTTAATTATTATTTTCCTGTTAGACAGACCTTTTCATTGTTTTTCTTTTGTGTTCTATTGACTTCCGATATGCGTAGGTTTATTACAGGAAATCAAAGTCTAAAGAAATTAAGCATTGTTTAAACCTTCTTGACGTAACTTCTTTTTTTACCTACGTACCTACATACTTGGTATCGTTTAAAGTTTAACTTGTTTTCTAACAAAAAACTAACGAACAAAGTTCTTCAGTCTTTATAAAAAAGCATTCTATCTAAAGCGAAGTATATTTGCGCAGATTTCTTTCAACCCATTCAAAACCGCGGACCAAAGAACCAACATGAATCGGGGCTCCGGTTTCCGATATGAATATAACTTGAGGTCATAATGAGATTGGAAAATATTAAACCCGCGTAATAAGGGCCGTGACTGGGAACATTTTTGCCTCATCTTCTTATATTAAACGGTTGAACCGGAGGGTGCGCGGCGTGATGATTGAGAGCAAATAAAGTATAAATTGAACTAGTGTTGTGGGGATTGAGCTCAATTATTTATGATATCGATAGCTATACGATTAGCTTTGAGGTAAAATATGTTAATTTTTATTTAGCATAGCCAACAGTTGTTTATTTTTCATAGTGATTTGTAAATTGACTTCCTGACGGTAACACTTTGATAGAGTTTAGGTGTATCGTAATTATGTAATACTCTATAATTACGATAAAATGACCAAAACTAATAACTCCTTAAGTGTTTGAACTGGAAACGTTTAAATATCGATCATAGACAATAACATTGCTGACTTTGAAAGTGTAATAATACAGATAAACAAGTTAGGATTTTAGTCACGTTTGAAGTAACCAATTGATTACGTCAAGAGTAACTCTTAAGACTCTACAGTTTAAAGGTTCAATTTATGTTACTAACTGTCGTAGAGTTCCAATCTTATGAGTAGGTACAGCTAAGCATATCGACAACGAGTTTCCCATCCCTAAATCGAAGGGATTGAATTATTTGCAAGGGATGGGACGTTAATTTCGTAGACGTGGTGAGTGTAAAGGAATGCCGTAATCAATTTGTTTGTCTTTTGGATTAAGCTATTTGGGATTTGGGTGAAGGTAACAAGTATATTGACAGGTTTTGTGTATGAGGGTATTGCGGGTTTCTATCCAACTTATTTATTTGGAGATCCAATTGACTTTCACATGTCCCAAAAATAAATAAGGTGAAAATTCAATTTAATTTTGATCGGAGCTAGCACGCTGACCCTAGTCAGAAATGATGGACAGTAAACCAAATAAAAAATAATGTCCAACTGTGAGGTTTGAAGCCTGTCTTTTTTAAGGATTTTCTTTTAAGCTTTTTATTGTACAGTGAAACTGCGATTAACGTGATTCTATGACGTAGTATCAGAAAGTTATTAATTTATTAATGGATCAATGTGCCAATTTCTGATCTATTCCATCTGGAAATCCAAGATCTCTGGAAAACAAGGAAAAGATTATACTTTATTACACACCCACATGAACTAGGTTGAATACCGCTGGTTTTAAGCTCTTTTCAGCTCTCAAGTTAAACATAGGAAGAATTTAATTTCAGTTCAGTTTTGAGTATATTAATTAATTGCGTAAAAGTGACAAAACCCCACTGGCGATAATTACATGTGTTTCGTAAAACGATATTAACAGGAGTTTTAATTAATGTACGCCTTTGGATCATTTTGATGTCGCTTATATTTGCAAAATACGTAATTGAATAAGAAAATGACTACGTAAGTCTGTAAATCACGACATTTCCACCTTTAAGTACCCGTAATGATTTTAATATTAGTTGACAAAGGTATTGATACTACAAAGCCCACAATTTGTCTCAAAGCGTTCTAGTCAAAGCATCAAACAACTAGCGAAAATATTAATTTCTCAAACACCAAACAAAGAACGTTAAAAAGCATTCAACATCAGCCTGTTCAGATCCGCCATTCTTTTTTCAACAATTACGCCGTGCAAATAAAGACGTTCCAGCAATATTCACGGAAGAAAGACGCATAAAAAATTATCATCGCCTCTCCCCGCGGCTCGGGCCAAATAAAAAGTAAGTCGCGAGTAATTTTTTTACAAGGCTTACACATAGCGGCAATAAAGGCGACGCGAGGAGGCCGCTTGTACGGCGTTTTATATCTCACTCCTGGGAAGGGCGCGGTCCAGTGCAAGCGGTGCGGTGGGGTGGTAAAATATTATGTCACACAGGCTAAAGAGGGTCAATGGGAACGGTTTCTGCAGTCTTTGTTTTGTTTTCGACCAAAAACGCACTATTTGTAATCGCAACCTAGTATTTTTTTATAGTTTGTAAAAGGATCGTTGTGATTGTTGAATAATTTAACTAAAATAGAAGACAACAAAATAAAATTAGGATCACCTACATTTCAAAAGTACCTATGTAATCGTTAATTCATAAATATAATATAATACTTATTGCTTCTCATGTTATCTAAAAACGAAGTTAGTGAGATTAAAGTAGGGACTTTTACTGCCGAGTTCAATTTGTCGTCTCTATCATAATTTAAGAAAAAAATATAACACGCAATAACCAACATTACCGAGATGCTAATTAAAAACAAAATCGCTTCCACTGTACGCGTTCCCTCTCGGGCGCTGCTCTGCCTGTGACACCGGGAATGAAAGTTAAATGTCGCCGGGAAATAATGCGGGCGACGTGACCGCGTGACGGAGGAATTGCAGCGGGGCGCCGATGCGGGATACACCCCAAAAATACGGCCGTTTCCAGCTGACGGCGCCATTTCAATTTGAAATATTATTTATAATTTTTAATAAAAACGCGCGCAATCACCGGCGAATACCTTTTGGTAGATAAGGGCTGCACATTTTTGATGATATCGATAAGATGATGAGATGCAAATTATATTATAGGTACTTACTTATTTACTTGCATTAATAATGTTGATTTACAGCCGCGGGTTGTTGAAAGTTGTTTAGATTGTGTACATTAAAATAATGTAAAAAGTCTCATGAATAAAACAATCCGCAAAAGTACAGACAGTAGGCATCGAACTTTTAAGTGTTATGAAAGTTTTGTTATCTGCCAACGCTTTTTGTGCTGAAGCAAGATGCGAATCAAAGTTCGCACACGGCGTACACAAATCCGCTATGAATATTCATTGAAAACACTGATATTTCGGCAGTTTGTGCGCTGTAATTATTGATATACGGCAAACATATCGATGTTCGCGCAGTTTGTTTCTGATTAATTATTCCTGAATGAATCCACTCGGTTTATCGCGAGCCGATAAAACTCATAAAACACAGCCACGATACTATCATTTCGAGTTTGGGTACATCGTATTTCAGAATATATTACTTTTATATCTGAAAAAATCGTCGAATATACGCACGGCTAAGCTTTTTCCTGGGAATTGACATTTGAAAGTAAATCAAAATACGAGGAAAGACAAAAGAGGCGTCATCGTAAATGTTTTCGGCTTCAATGTATTTAAAGGGCGTAGGTATGTACTTTGTATTATAAGAGGTAACTATTTTTTATTTCTAGGTATTTTCTCCACGCTGTTACCGTAAGATCTAAATATAAAATTCCATAAACCCCTGCCATACTAAGCTGCGAGAGGCTCGTATAACAACTAACAATAACATTGTTCTATACAGAGTGTCCCAGAATGGGTGAATCAAACTGATAGGGGAGGTAGCTCTACTAATGTACTATCCCAAAAAAAAATGAAAAAAAAAATAAAGCGCATAAGAAAACAAAATTTTTTTTTTGAAAAAGTGAAAATAAATCAGCTTTGCCTAAGTATCTGGCTATAATTGCTGCGTTTGGAGTTTATTTGTACTTTTTTCTTACTAATATTAATTGTATGTACATGATCGATTCGTTTATCTGTAAACAAACTTTTGAAAATATTGACTAGATTTCGAGTTTATTTGCACTTAATTAAAAAAAAATCTGACTTAAAAATTTTTTTTCATATTTTTTTTGGATAGTACATTAGTAGAGCTACCTCCCCTATCAGTTTGATTCACCCATTCTGGGACACCCTGTATAATCGGTGCTTGAAACCATCTTTCCAAGAAGTGTACGTACATTTAGAAAGTTATCTATTCAAAACAACCACCTTGAGGTGACTTATTTGTATGACCTGAGGCAATTGTTTTTTTAACAATTTAAAAGGCAGTGGGAATATAGTTCCCACAAAATGATTGATCATCCTACTAGGTGGACCGACGATCTGGTAAAGGTCGCGGGAAGAGCCTAGATGCGGGCAGCGCAGGACCGTTCAGTGTGGAAAACCTTGGAGAGGCCTTTGTCCAGCAGTGGACGTCGTTTGGCTGAAACGAATGATTGATCATAATCGCTTGTCTTGAGGTCTAAGAACAATGAAAAATTGGAATCTGTGTCTTGATAAAGTATTATTATTGTTTGTTTCAGGCACTAGATGGCAGTTCAACTGGAACTGCCGTACCTACCGTCGTCGGGCATTGACTGGTGATGCGGCGAGCGCTGGAACGATGAGCGGGAGACGAGGCCCTTGCAAGAGCTTCGCGATCAGCATCATACAAATAGTCACTATCATCTGCCAAGGTCTGTACTAATTAAGCATTAGTATACACTAATAGAATAGGCACTACACACACAGTCTTATTCATTATCATCATAACTTCAATGAATCAACATTCGACAGCACCTATTTAAATAATACATATCATAATTATGGTGGTATAGGGTTTATTTTCTTTACCTTTACAAGACCATACGATATGAAACTTAATAATTAACTCCTGCTCTAGATTCTTCACTAACTTGGGACTTGTCAATGTAAAATAAAAGATTAATGACGTCATCCCACTCCTAATGACATTCCCACATCGCAAAGAGCAAACAAAGACAATAAACTCATCAAGTTAGGTGGCGAGTGTCAGAAATGGAACTGTTGATAGATTCAGTAAGTTGGTAATTACAGCGAAACTTTTCAAATAAAACGCCATTCAAACGGCGCTTCTTAATGAAGATAATATTTAGGACGGGACCCGACTCGGTTAATTAAATCTAAGAATAAGAAATAGCCAGCCACATGATACAGTTTAATGTTATGACGTTAATAAAATTGATATGAATTTGGAGCTGATGTGATAATTATGTGAAATCTGTATCAAGCTCTCACAACCTTAGTTATTTAAATATTCATCCTTCAGCTGTTAATAATGGGCATTCCATATTTATTATTTATTACCGTTCTTATACTCGTAACTCTCATTCCATAGCTACTTGACTATTCTTTCATTCTCTTATACATCGAAAAATCAGAAAAAAAAACAGGTACTTAGTTTAATTAACATTTAATTGAATCCCTCTATTCTTAACCCCTTTTTGAGTCGTCCCGCAAAATATTGATTAAGCTCTACCAAATTAACTCCAGAACGGAATCCAGTGTTCTAGCATCAATCATGGCGCCGAGTCGCCTCTGCTCCCCGAGGGTGGGGATTCGCCATAAATAAATTAAACGAGTGTTGTGGAGTATTTGTTACCCTAATGTATTTTGTAAGGGTTAATTTTAGATTCTGATGTAATTGAGTCATGAATTTGTAATTATTTAATTAAAGTTAGTTAAAATACGTGTAATGATGCACACGCAAGTATTAATTAGTAAATACTCACTTAGTAACTGTCCTCTCATTAGGTTGTCTGGAAGAGATCGCTTCATAGCGATAAGACCGCCTAATTGTACCTTATGTGTTCCTTTTCTTTCTGTTTTTTTATCTGGTGTGCAATAAAGAGTATTTATTATTATTATGTTTTTCTGCTATATTTTATAGGCACGGTTTCCACTGGAATCCGGTTTAATGTCGTTCACGGGCCGAAGCCAAGCGAGCGACATTTTCTTGTGGCTTATTGGGTTAATTCGCTCTGAAGGAATTTGCGAACTATCCTAATAATATGCGAACACTGCATTACTTTTTAGGAAACGTAATTATTTATTTAATATAACTTGTAATAAGCATTTCAATAGTAAAATAAAAAACATTGGATAGTTTTTGATTCGTAGACTAAGTGCCATGGAGATACACGCACTAGAGTGGGCTAATACCTACTAAATAAATAGTAATAAGTGCTAAACCCTATAGCAATGACTAGAATAAAACAAACCAAATGTAGATATAAATCCCAAATAATATTTGTCTAACAATATCGTATCACTGACAACTGCAAACAATCTGCTTATAAATACAAATTACACAATCCATGAGACGTTTTGTATTGTAATCTTTCGTCGAGAAATTTTCTTATTTCTATTTGAATAAAACGGATATTATTCCTTGGATCTATTGACAAGATCTTGCTGTCGTCTTTTTACCGAGAATATTGTAATATCCTTGTCCGATATTGTAACTTCGGGTTTTTAATAATTGCTACAAGTTTCTTTGTAAGCAGATCTCAGATTTGCCTATCTTGGATCTGCCCAGGAAAGGTTACAATTGTGACTACTTGTTGCTATTTCTTATAAGAGATACCAGGAATTCTTTATATTAAATTCCGCACGCATGAATTGAGTAATGTTAAGGAATCATTCAATTAAAGAACAGAGTCAAGGTTTAATGTTTTATTTGTTTAGATTTTTTATCATTAGGCACATCAAATACCTACCTCATTTGAAAGGCCTTGAAGCCTGGAAGTAAGAAAAATGTTAGTAAAGAACTTCGTAGATGTAGTTACTAAGTTACCTAATACCAATAAAATAAGAATAAAATTTTAGTTCCACACTTCAGGATTTAAAGTTCAATTATTCTGGTTCTGTAAAAGAAAAAATAGAAATAGGATTACTTTGTTGTCCAGCCCTCTTGTCTGTCAAGACCCTTTTTCTCCGGAATGCGTGGAGGTACCGAGTTGAAATTAATGTCAAATATTCAGGTCTGCAATCCCTTGGAACACTGAAAAAATGAAAATAGTTCGTGGAACAGAAAATTGTATAAATTATTATAACTAGTCCTCACGAAAACTTTTTGCGTCAAATATCATTTCCTACGTTATCGCGACGCTATAATATTGTGGTGGTTTATTATGAAACAACGAGATAGGCTGAAGCATCGCTATCTTTAAGGGAACATCAAAAGAGCGCCTGAACCCAATCTTCGAGCTTGTCAAGAAATTCTACAGAAAATTCGTGCTTAATCATCAAAAAGATTAATGGTTTTCATCATTACCACACACTGAACGCTCGGAGTTATCAACAGTTGAAACGCAAACTTGTAATAAACAATGTTCGCCGTCAACAACTCATGCGGCGCCGCAACTTTCCTCTTGATTAAAAATGTCAATCTTCCCTTCTAAGTTATTTTTCGACAAAATTGTTTTTTGTTTTGACTGCACCGTCTTTATTAGACAAGTTCTTATTCAATCTCGTGCTCTTGAGTTTAATGTTGATTTTATTAAAACTTCAATTCAACAATCTACACTTTATGCTTTATTGCAGAATTCCCGTTCACACTGTAGGTGGAAAGTTTCTGAAGAACTTCATTATTTTATCTCGCTTCTATTTCCAGACAGTGTTTTAAATAAAACTTTTCTTTTGAGATTATTTTGTGCAAAATATTTCTCTCGTATTTATTTTAATTCTCAAGACAGTTTTGATAAGTAGATATTGCTCTACAATTTCTGAGGTCACTTAACCTGACTGGTGTTAAAATTTAATTTTAGATAAAGTACAAACAAAACATTATAGCGGGCCTCTCTAGAAAAAGCTTTCATAGGGTTTCTGGTATCTATTAGTTACTGGAATTTATCTTATACCTAGATGGATGAGAGAGATAAGGAATTTATTTATTTTAATCATAATTAAGGACCGTAATATTTTATTATAACCTTTTAATCTTTTACTTCACTGAGTAATCAGTCTGCTACTACGATAACCTTTCTTGGAACGGTAAAGCCAAAAATAGGACCATTATACTGGCTGTTACTATAAAAGATATCGCGTATACAAAGGTAAATAGTACTCAGTGAGGTATTTTAGAAGCATTTTATTGTTGTCGTATTTACAAATTCTTATCTATACTGAAATCTTCATTACTGAGCCACTTAGTTAAATACTATCATAAAATCTATATTTTGTCTGAACTAAGAATGTTTGCTTGATATATTCAAATATTATTCACTAAATTATTACTCAATGTTTCTTTAGTAATAATTTAAATTCAATTTGGATGTTTTAATAGATATAACTCACTTGAATATATGCTAAAGTTATTGTAGATAACGATATTCTTAACGTTTGTTTTTATCTTGATATCAAAAAACAATAATAAAATATGAATTTTCACTTGGCTGCTTCACGAGATACTTTTTCAGTGCATTTTTTTTTAATAAAGACTGGTATTTTTAATCAAAATTTCTGAGGTTTTAAAAGATTAAATAAAGATTTAAATTAAACGACATACAAAACTTACCTAAATATTTTTGTCTACAGTGCTGACGGAGGAGCCGCGGTTCGCCGAGCCCATCCCCAACGTGACGGTGGCGTTGGGGCGGGATGCCAGCCTCCCCTGCGTCGTCGAACACCTTGGCACTTATAAGGTAAGCTTATAGAGAAAGGCCTCCATCCAAAAATCCAGATAGTATTTATGGGAGTTTCTTACCAACTTTTAATACGAGTAGGTCATGATTGGCCAAATTTTTTAATGTAAAATGTTAATAGTTCTATTCCATGTACATTTACTAGCGAACATTTCATGGGTCAAATGTCAGTTGGGCGAAAAGTAAGATGTCAAAAGATTATGTCGGTCAAACGTTCATTGGCGTGCCGTTCTCTTGGCGAACGCTTCATGGGTAAAGTGTTCTTTGGGCAAAAAGTTAAAAATCATGTTGGTGAGTAGTTCATTGATCAATCGATTGTTGGTGAACGGTTTCACAATCAGATTTCCACCACGATCGATTCTACGCTACCCATATGCAGGTGCTTCCCGCGCCCTTCACCAGATCATTGGTCCACCGAATGGGAAGCCTATAGTGTAGGTTTGACTGAAAAACACTCACTTTCTTTAATTTTACTTAGAATTTCATATTGAGTTATTAATCTGAAGGTCGTCTATGTATGAAACAAATGATTAAGCAAAATTTCGTAACTTTCTCAATAAATATTAAGTTGTTAACTTCTATCAGTAAAATAGTTGTGAACTCTATATTTTATTTATGGACTAGCTCCAAGTTAAGGGCACTATGTCTATATTTATTGTTAGCGTATTCGTATTTTAATGTTTGCCGAACGTCTCGACGGCCCGAACCAATACAGAGTCAGAGTCGAGGTGATACAAACTTGCTAATTATAAATACTCAATGAGGTACTTGTAGTTAAGTGGCAGAGCCTTGGTGTTACAATATTGAAGGGAATCCAACCTATCTTATCAAGTGCCATATTTTGCAATATTTCCATGCTTAGTGCAGTCAGATACTTTGAGTTCAGCAGTTTGATATATTGAGAGGTATTTTCGTATGCCACAGTTAAATTAAAATTTAATATTTAAAATTTTGTCTGTAATATTCCTAACACACTGTTATTGCGTCTGAAGCTAATATTTTCTTTATGTAAATCACAAAATTTTCATATCTCCAAATAATTCTGTCTTCAGTTTAACCATCTGTGTTCTTGATATTACAACTCGAGGTAAGAACTTCTATTATAAAGCAACTGCTGTACTGAATTAAGTTTAGAATGTTCAGTCAGTACCTACAGAATATTCTTATAAGAATTAGTTGTGGAATCTAAAGATACTGTGAAAATACTATTTTCAGGTATGTGAGGACTGCTGCAATGATTCAAGCACATTGTGCTGTAAGAAGCTGAAAAATGTTTCACTTTTGAGAAAAACACTTGAAGTAAAAATGTTCTTTAATTAAATATTATTTTTAATTTGCCATCCTAGACTGCATCCCACTTAACATCAGGTGCGATTGTGGTCAAATATTTGCCTTGTCATGCATAAAAAAAACCTTTAACCTACGTTCTGCCATCTGGTTATGGGGTCTTTGTCGATAATTGCATGAGTTTACAATGTTAAAGGCCATTACTCACACATCATTGAAACCCATAGTCCTCGCCTCTCCAAATCAATCAAAAGGAAGCTATCAGTGCGCCCCATTCTTCGGAATGTACCCGTCACCCGTCCGGAGTTGTCCCCGGGGAAATCTGTAACGCTACGGTCTCGCCCCACTCGTCCCACTCGCCCCACTCGTCCCACTTGCCCCGCGCACGTGATCACGGGAACGCAAATTAGGCGCAAGTAGGCGATGCATGTGTGAACACTGAATGACTGTGATGTTGCGTGGAATCGATTCGGCTATGTAAAATATTATTTAGTCAAGGGTCATGTCAATGTCTTGCATTACACGCTCATTTTCAGTTTTGAAAATTTTTTCATTTACATTTTTTCAACAGTTATAATTTTACTATCGCACACCACACGAAATAATTTCAAGAAAGAATAGCACTAGTCTTTCGCTTTCTAGCAATCAGTCACTGTAATATTCAATAGTTGAATGACAGAGATGATCTTTTTTTTTTCATAAATAGTAGAGTCCCTGTGGTAAGAAACTAAAAGATAAACATAAAAACTTTAATAAAATGATCCCAGTTATCGCTTGAAACGTTTCAATTGCCCCACAAAAGCGACTCATTTGCCCCAAAGTTGCAGTATCCAATTAACTTATTCATGAATACCCGCTCGCACCACTGCTACATTATCCTGTATGTAGATTTAAAACATTACACCTTTTTTGTTGAAATTGGTTAATAAACGTTAAATTATTAAGTTTACAGTCATTCTTTCAAAGAGTTGTTTTTAAATGAAGATTTTACAAATAAACTGATATAATAAATTAAATGATGAAATAATAACTTGAATTATATTTTTAGCTTTAATTGAAAACCACTCTTCATAACTTAGCTGTTATTTAAAGTAAGCGTAATTTCTTAAAAATATCTATTTTCACCTTGTCAAAAGTCTGGACCTGTTTTTCATTGAAAGACAATCAATATCTTATCAAGGAAGATGTCGCAGAGTAACTAAATCAAGTAACACAAAAATAACTTTTATCCACAAGGCCGTGCCTTTTATTCTTTTGACGCCCAATGTGGAGAAGTTTAGCTATTAATATCTTTTTGTGTAACGTACTGCTTTAATAAAATATAAGATCTTGCTTATTTTTTTATGTTACAAATGAGTAGGTACGTAACTCTGTTTGCCTTAAATTTTCCTAGTGTTTTAAGCAGTTTTTTTTACAAATTTTGTTTGTAATTTACATGGGATCGACCTAAAAACCATAAGCTACGTTTTGTCGCAATATAAATCTTTGGAGAGGTGAAATACGGGATGAAAGTTTGTATGGGGAACCCATCATTTCTCATGTTAGGGATAAAGTTCATATTTCTGCTTCTGGTAAGGAAAAAAAGTGTTATTGAACTTGAGTCGCTAATTATTTTCTGTGACAGACCAAATACCACACAGGGAAAACTCTAGCCTAACAGTGGCTATTTTATCAATTTGAAGAGTCATGTAAAATTCAAACTCTATTGCAAAGAGAGGCAATACAGACGACGGCACATCAAACTTAGCACTTTAATATCTTAATTAGTTGTCATTAGTCATATTTTGTTACAAAAATGTTTAGTCCGATGTGCTGTAGACTGTACCAACTCGTACATAACAATAAGCTTTGTCTGCGTTCCATCTAATATCGAGTTGCAGGATATTTCAATTGCGCATAGTTGCAGAATCAATTAAGTTATTCATGAACGCGAATATTCCCGTGACGGTAACCACAAGGTACAGTTGAAGCGAATGAAGTAGACTGACTCTACGTTAACAAAGTTTATGTTAATACTACAACTACGAAAACAATTCTACTAAATAAATACTCTTTAAAATAAAGAAATCATCGTAACCTCTCTAGTCCTGATCATTTCGTCATCCCATGGAAACCATAGTTATAGAGTTTCTTTACACAATCAACATGAAAGTAGACCATCAATATGGTATTTTGTATAACAACTTGATAAGCTACGTTTAGTAATATTTACATTCAACCTCTCTCAATTTACAACCGCCAACCAAAAATTAAGCGGCTGCAGAAAAACATAAAGCCCCGACAAGCACTCCACTTAACTTGTTTATTTATTTTCCAAATTATTCTGGAAAACATGGAAAGTATAAAAGTTTTGATTAACTTCGTCGAGGTGAATGAAATAATTGAAGAAGCCTTCAGGTGCGCTTATGAACATTTTCAGAAACTTTGTGATCTCGTCCCTTTTGTATTTTTTCTTACATTTGCTAAATTGGCTGTCATAATTTAATTCGAATGTTATGTAGGGTCATTTTGTTTTTGTATGTATAGGTTTTTAACGCGGAAAACGTCATCCGGTATTTTGAGTTCATTTACTTTATATTTAATCCTTGTCCTTGTAGAGCCAGATCATTCAAGACCTATTATACAAAAAGACAGGCTATGTTGCACTGAAGAATATTTCAGTAATTAACAGACAATCCTCTAGACTCGTTTAGTGGATTGCGAGCAAATGAGAAAAGCAGATGTGCCAGGAGGTCCCACTAACATTAAAACGATTAATGTGACTGATAAAATCTCATTATTTACTTACGCAATGCGCATTTTATGTAAATGACACATGCCCGCACTGTCATGCGATTTTAATACAAAAGTTTATATTTAGATAGTCGCTAAGAATGAAGAACATAATGACAAATTTCCTACAAGTACTTCGCAATAATGTAGCCTTGGAAGTTAGTTGCTTAACCAAAACCATTTGGAATCGGTAACAAAGGCACTTCCCAAAATTGATCTCTATTTATATTCCTCTGTTTACCTTTATCAGATATCCGGTGAGATGTATTTCGGTTTGTATATTTTAATTCAATAAACGAATTTATACAAAGCTCCAACTCCTCTCCGAGTCAAATTATCATTGAATGGACCATTCACAACTTTATTAAAATTCGCGCGATTCATTCAGACATCGGCAATTCTCATCTCATTTCGGATTCACATCAATTACGTCTTCACGTTCCCACGTTTTTACTCAATCGAGTTTGCTATTAACCCTTTCCGAATTGGATTACTTCCGAAACGAACTGTCATATTTCTCTGCAGTAATTAAGTAGGGGTGTCTGGGGAGGCGACTTCCAGCGCCTTGCAGTGTTACAATTAACTTATTCATGAATTTGCCGGGTGTCTAATTATTTATTTTATTTTATGAGCCCTATTATCTTGATACTGCCTGCTCGTAAATACTTAAGCGGTAAGTGAGAGTGCCGTGGAATTCTCGAGTGCCAAAATGAAGGGTTCGGATGCTTCATTTGTTGTTCCAGTTTACAGTCGGGATCAGAATTTCTCTTTATTACACTCTTGCACTAGAATTATTTGGCGTTTTAGATCTAAACTTTATGCCACAAATAATGTACAGAAGGATGAAGCCTTTGAAGATACTAGATGGGCAATAACCTTTTGATATACTAAGAATAAACTTGACCTGATTAAATTAACTTAAAACTGCTTCTGATAAAATC